GTTTTTTTTTTTTTTTTTTTTTTTTTTTAATTTTTTTTTTCCAACGTTTATTTATTTTTGGGACAGAGAGAGACAGAGCATGAACGGGGTAGGGGCAGAGAGAGAGGGAGACACAGAATCGGAAACAGGCTCCAGGCTCTGAGCCGTCAGCCCAGAGCCTGACGCGGGGCTCAAACTCACGGACCACGAGATCGTGACCTGGCTAAAGTCGGACGCTTAACCGACTGCGCCACCCAGGCGCCCCTAGAGACATGTGTTTTAATCTTGCCTCTGTTTCTGACTTGCTAAAGGAAATTCTTAGACTTCACAGGTCTCCGTATTCTCATCTGTAAAAGAAGAAGATGGCTAAGATTGTAAAGTCACTCCCCACCACCCGCACACCTTTTTAACAGTTTTATTGGGGCTTTAAGGTACCTTCTGGCAATTCTGTGCTTCTTTTTATACTATAATTTAGCAAGCCCCTTTGTGTATGTGTGTGTGTGTGTGTGTGTGTGTGTGTGTAAAATACTGGACTAGATCTAGTGTTACAGCTTAAATAGGCACTTGGTCTGGCTTATACCTGAAAGGAAATAGCATTCAGGAAATACTACCGTTCTGGGAGGCAAATCTTAGAGAAATAAAATCCTCCTTATTTCCTTTAAAATTATGGCCTTCCCGCACAGAATGGATCATTTACCTTTAACAAGCTCTTATTAGTAACAAAAGTTTGGATAGCTGCCATCTTGAAAGTTTGTAGTTCATATTTTATTAAGCAGGCAAGGCTTACTTACACACCCTCATTTTTTGAAGAATTGTTTTTAAATTTTTAAATCTCGTCAAAGAGAACCGGAGATTATATCTGTTTTAATTCTTCAATACCTGCCCTTACGGAGATGAAGAAGCGGGGTTCTCCATTCCTTGAAATTTGGCTTCCTGACAGCGATTTCCCAAGTTAGGAATGGTAGAGAGTGAGGACCAAGGACCACAGAAGCCTGTGTGTGTGGTTTGGAAACAAAGTGATATTTTGTGTTGTTGCTCGATTTGGCTTTAGCCAAATCAATAGTTGATTTGTATGGATTCAAAGACACCATACGTTTTTTTAAGTTTAAGACCGCAACGAGGCCACCCAAATTCTGGAGGGTGTGGACAGACCGAGGAACACTACGATACGTAGTAAATTCTGGGGAGAACTGCCCCACTGGACCCAGGATGTGAAGAGCCCGTGGGGAAGGTTCAGGAAAAGAATTCAGATAATATACTTGATGTTTTATAAAAATATCGCAACCACAGTATCCTGGACTCTATGGTGAACTCTGGCACTGTGTTACCATAGGGTTATTGTACACGTAGCATAGAAGAGTGTGCTATGTTATAAACACAATGTTTTTGAACAACTTAGTTTAATTTTAAGACTGGTTTTATAAGGTAGAAATTTTAAAGCTGCTTAACTGATATCCCATAAAAGTTGCTGAACTTTATTATTGATTCGTTTTATTTTAAAATGTCAGACCTTTCCTTGTGATACGTGTCATGATTCTAGCTATCAGGAATGGATGGATGTTTTGTGATCTTCAGTAAATAGTTACTGAGAACTCACTTTGGGTTACATTCTTGAATGTTTAAGAAAACATTCTTAAAGTTTTACTGTCTTCCCTGAGCTTAGTTCAAATTCTTGCTACATCAGATGTTTTCTGTATTTTCCTTGAATCTACTTAGGAATAGTCAGGATTCAGTGTCTTTTCTCTTTCATGAGTCCCGAGGAAGCTTTAAGAAACAGACACGTTAAAACCTGTGAAGAATGGATGAACGTTTAGTGATCTTCTTCAATGAGAGAGACACATAGGAGTGGCAGGTTTACTCTCCTGGAGTGCTGGGAGGGTTAAAGGTTATCCACTTGGTAGTTATTTTAGCTACAAATGGCAACTCAAGTTTTTTTGTTTTTTTGTTTTTTTTAACATGAGTCTGATTTTCCTTGCAGCAACATAGGTATATATTTTTTAAAGTACTTGCAAATGCCTGGGTAAAACTTTTTTGTGGAAAGATATTTGTAGAGTTAAAGTATTTTTTTAAATTCTATGGGATAAACATGGTTTCAAAGACATGGATGAGAAATAATCGGCCCTGTACGCAGGGCTGTGGTTCACTGTACTGTAGGTTCCATGAAAGCAAGGTCAATGTCAGGGTTTTTATTTTCCCCATCATCAGATGAGATGTTCAGTCAGTGAATGATCTGTATTTAAGGACATTGGTTATCGATGGCTCTGTTTGCATGTTGTCAACATTTTATTGCGCAGATCGTAAGCATACAGCAAAGTTGAAAGACTTGGAACGAACACCTATATACCTGCCATCTAGCTCCTACCGTTAACATTGTGGTCTATTTGCTTTATCACACATCTGTCCATCTGTATATCTCTATAGCCATTTATTAATTTATCTTATTTCTGGCACGTTTCAAGGATTTTTTTCTGGACAATCACGGTAGCTAATTTGTATTCAGGGACCATATTTGAACTGGCGAAAGAAAAAGCGATGAGGAGTCCGTTTTAGTTACCAGATGTAGCTCTGTCGCTGACCTCAGGCGACGTATATGGATGCACTCTGATTTCTTGCTGATGTTTCCATGACTTTAACGTTACACTGTTAGCATGATCTCCCGATAGAGAATCCTCATTTGCTGACTGTTTTGGTGGTGTGGATGCCGATTGTGTATGACTACTGTTGCCATTACAAGTGGCTTTCATGTTACTTCACAGGAAACTTAAATTTCTCGTGTCTTTTCTGGTTAGGAGTAGCTCATCGAAGCCAGAGCAGTGAAGGAGTCAGTTCTCTCAGCAGCTCGCCCTCCAATAGCCTTGAAACCCAATCTCAGTCTCTCTCACGTTCCCAGAGCATGGATATCGATGGTGTCTCTTGTGAAAAAAGGTAAAGTAAGCCAGTTGTCCGATAAGCTGTGGGATTTATGGAAAGGGAAAGATTCGGTCACTTCAGTCTCTAGTCCACCCAGAGATTTACACCAGTCCTTATTAGCAAATTAGTGTGAGATCTGTGAGGCTTATAGGTCTTTGTATTGTTCTGAAATGTTCTATATAAGTTGTTTAGCTTTTTGTATTGAAATGTCTTTTATGAAATAATGGTGTAAATGGTAAAAAAGTTTTTTGAAAAATGTTTTCTAATGTCCTTACTTTGTATATACCATGTTGGCGAGCATATGTCCGTCCCTAAGAATTTCTTCCAAGTTTTACTGGTCAGTGAAATGTAAACGTTTGGAAGGGAAGGGTACACACAGGGAAGCCAGATGCCTTAGGAGCTCCATAAGGGTCAGGATGTCCAGAGCAGAGTGTTTCGGTGCTGTAAGTGTGCCGTGAATGGTAATAGAGTGGCTGAGGCATCAGTTCCTTTATTCCTTGGGCAGAATAAAGAACCCCCTGCGCCACGACCCGTCTCCTCTGCCCTGAAGCAGCTCCCACAGTTTGTGTCAGTGGACCAGACAAATAGTATTTTCTGGGTGTGTTATGAAGTGAAAAAGGTTGAGAGGCACCGGAACAGAGCTTCAGCAAGTTGATGGGTTGGGGTGAGGAGGCCAATCAGAGATCGCCTCACCTTAGGTAAGAATTCCGAAAGGACGGCACTCTCAGGGAAAAGATGAAGTAGAAGAAAATCAATCCCACAGAGTAAAAACAATGGTGCCCTTACCACCTTTGCTCTGAGTAGATACATTTTTTAAAAATCAAGTCAACTGTGTAATTTCATGGCCAGTGGGTGACTTCATACGGGTTTAGTACCTAGATTTACACTATTGGTACAGTCTGACGAGCCTCAAGCTGAGAACTAGCATTGGACCCAGGCCTATACTGCTTTTAAGGCATCTTACGGAAGCAGATGTAAATCATGTCTTCAGAGAATTTCCTTAGAAAAATTTCCAAGAAGTATGAACTCATGGTCAAAACTCAAAGAACACACCAGATGAAAGCCACCGTGAGTAACATATGGCAGTACCAGTAACAGTAGAATTATTCACCTGTATATTTTTGGTTTTTGGAATTACCAGATGGACAATACAAAATACATATGTTTACATAAATTACAAAGGGAACTGAAAACATGAAAAGGGGAGAGCAGCTATAAAGACAACCAAGCACGTTTGAAAAAGAACCAAGTAGAATTTCTAGAAATGAAAAGATAATTCAAATTGAAAACGTGATGTGAGAGTTAAAACAGTTGATAGGACATAGCTAAAGAGAGAGTTAACCAACCGAATGGTAGAGCTGAAGAAATTATATACAGTGTGTGTCTCAAAGAGAAAGAGATAGAAATATGCAAGATATTTAGAGACATGACGAGCACAGATCCAACCAATATCTAATAGACATCTCAAAAGGTGAGAACAGAGAGACTTAGAGCGATTCCCCACACCCCACTTTATTCCATGTGTTTTCCTCTACTGGTTTGGAAGCCATTATCCAAAAGATAAATGGCTAAGAATTTTTCTAGAGTTGATAAATGATATGAATCCTCAGATTCAAAAAGCCCAGCAGCTCACCTGCTGATGAAACAAAGAGAAATTCATATCTGGACATTTTATGGTAAAATTTCAGAACATCAAAGACAAAAGACCTTTAGTGCAGCCAGAGAGAAAAAAGAGATCGTCTACCAAAGAATGATAGTTAGATGTCTGAATGATGGAAGTCAGATGGTGGGATAATAGTGTCAAACGCTGAAGGTAAATTAGCTGTCCACTGGGAATTGTGAAGCCTTGTGCACCAATCTCTGAGAAGCACAGGTGAGATAAAGATATTATAGATTCAGAAAACAAACACACGCAGACATCCTGGTAGTCTGCCACTTCTGAAGACCCCAGCTGTTAACAGATGTAGTTGACGAAGAAGGAAAATGATCTCAGGACTAATGTCTGAGATGCACGAAGGAAGGGTGAGTGAATAATACGTGTGGTAAATCTAAACAGACAGGGGTAGTGTAAAACAATGGTAACAGTATATACAATAATATCGAGGGAGAGAAGTGAAAAAACGAGTTAGGTACAACATGCTGGTTAGCAGTAGCATGGAAGGGCAGGGGCCGGGGGGAGGTCATTAGAGCAAGCACTAACGTCCCTGTGTACTTGGGAGAGGGGTGAAGATACTGGCCAACTTGTAGATTTTGAGTTAAGGGTACTTGATACAATTTCAGGGGTGGCCACTAAAAGAACAGGAATGGAGTATGTTTTCCAAAGCAGTGAAGGGAAAATATGGAATGGGGGTTGGGAGTCTGGGGGGATGGAAGCACAAATTTTAAAAGAAAGACAAATGGCACAAAATAAGACGGTTAAAAGAAATGAAGACTAGGTCAGTAATCACAGTGCATCACAGTGAAAGGCTTAGATCCGGGTTAAAAATGAAACAGAACCCAGCTTTATGTTGGTTTACAGAAGACATACCTGAAGCAGTAGGTTAGAACTTTCAACGTTTTGTTGGAAGTGAAAGAAAAGGGAAAGATATTCCATGCACATACTAAACAAGAGAAGATTGGGGTAAACAGTAGATTAGTCTTCAAGGCACAAAGTACTACTAGACATAAGCACTGTGTGTTGTTTAACAGTAGGATGTAACAGTTTCCAAAGTATACACACATACTTGTGTGACAGCAGCAACAATAAAGCAAGTAACGGTAGAACTAGAAGAAAGTGACACATATTCATAACGGGAGATTTTGACACATCCCTTTGGTGCATGGATAGATCAAAAAGAATGAGCGTCAGTAAGCATATGAACAAATGAAACAACACAGCTAACAAGGTGGATCTGATCTTTGCACTCTACAGTTGGAGAATGCACATTCTTTCCTAATATCCAAAGACCAGAGAGTTTCGGAATGCAGGATCAAACCGATCATGTTTTCTGACTAGGACATTAGGTTAGGTAATTAATACAGGGGAAAAAATTTTAAAATCCCTCACACATTTGGAAGTTTTTAAAACAGAGCATGCGTCTAACTACAGGTCAAAAAAGAAATTTGGAATTACCTGGAACTGAACGATAACAGATATGACACATTATGAGCTTCATGTTGCAGCCAAAGCGGTTCTTAGGAGAAAATATAAAGCTCTAATATAAATGAAACAAGGAAGAAGAGAATATGACTAAGTATTGAAAATAGGAACCCTTGTCTTGGAAGGCTCTTGCCCTGGATATGCGCATGGCTAACCCCCTTCCTGTTTGTACTCATGTGGCATTTCTCAGTGAGGCTCACCCCATTTAAAATGGAAAGTCCTGCACTCTCCGTTGCCTTTTCCCTACTCTTTTTGCTTTATTTTCTCCGTAGCATTTATCATTATATGTTTTACTTACTTATTATATTTATTGTTTATGATCTTTCACCCTCTAATGAGAAGGTAAGCTCCATAACACAGGGCTTGTATTGTCTCTTTTGTTTGTTCATTGACATCTCAGACACCTAGGACAATGCCTGCATAGAAGGGGGAACTCAGTGATATTTGTTACTGAAAAAGAGAATTCCGTGAAAAATTGTAAATATGCAACATGCAAGTAAATACGAAAATTTGGAGAAAAATCAAATTCCTAGAAAAACATAATTCTTCCAAAATGGGCTCAAGAGGAGAGAGAAAGCCTGAATAATCAAAAACCATGAAATGAATTGAATCAGTGTTTAAAAATTTTCCAAAGAAAGTAGCTTGCCCATATAATTTTATAGGTAAATTCTACCATTCCAGTTGTACACAGATTTTTCCAGGTAATTAAAAAAAATAGGGACTGCTTACCAACTCAGTTTACAAAGCTAACGAGACCTTAGTATCACAACCAGACAAGAATAATATAAAAGAAACAAATTACATGGTAATCATGCTCGTGAACGTATTTGCAGAAATCTTGAGATACTGACAAGTCAACTATTGCAACACATAAAGAGCAGACAGAACTTCTCTGGGGCTAGATGCCAGGATAGTGGTTACTGTGGGCTAGCGTAGTTGTGACTGGAAGGATTCGAAGGGGGCTTTTGGGATGCTGGTCACGTTCTGTTTCTTGATACGGGCCCTGATTACATTAGAATGTTTCCTTTGTGAAGCTTTATTCAGTCAAACACTTACGATCATCTGTGGACAGTTCTGTGCAGATATTTCAATCATAAGTTTAGTTAAAAGTGTCAGTGTAACGTAACATGAGCAACATGGATTTATCCCAGGAATGCAAGGGTGCATGCAGCAGTTGAAAATCTACAAGTATCATTCACCACATTATATATTAAAGAGAAAAACCATATGATCTTGGTAGTTGGAAGAGTTTGATAAAACTCAACATCATTTCATGATAAGAATCTTTGCAAACAGCAAACAGAAAGGTGCATCCTAAGTGGACAATACGGCAGAGACAGAGTTGAGCAAGTATTTCACATGTTCCCCTGCATTTCCAGTTTCCTGTGCAGTTAGATTGGGGCCAAGTACCTTGTTTTGTCCAGTAGACTGTGCGTGGAAGTGACATGTGTCACTTTTAGGTGAAGGCAGTTGAGCCGATATTCCTCCTCCATCGCTCTCTTCTCTCGCTCCAGTGACCTTGGAGGCTGTGTATTGCAGATGGCATAGATTAAAGAGGGAGTAAGGATGCTTCACTCTCACCAGACTTTGCGTAAGCAAGAAATAACCCTTATGGTGTTGAGCCTCTAAGATTTCCAAGTGTTTGTGTAACCACAGCATAGCCTGCCTTATTCTGACTGATATAAAGGACATCTCTCAAGAAACTACAGCAACTCTCATACTCAGGGGTGAGAAATTAGAACCCCTCTCTTTAAAATCAGGGATAAGAACAAAGATGGCTGCTATTTCTACGTCTGGTCCACGTGGGGATCCTACCTAGTGCAGAAAAACAAGTAAGGATTGGAGCGGAAGAAATAAAACCGTTCTTATTTGGAGATGAGATTATTTTCTACCTAGTAAATCCTATGTGTAAGTATACAAGTTGCTCCTAAGAGGTCTGTATCAGTTATATTACTAGGTACTAGCAACAAGAGATTAGACAAGTTAATTTTTAAAAAGGTACCATGCACAGTTTTAGTAAAAGATACATGGTACCTAGGTATAAGTTTAGAAAAGAAGTGAAAGACTTATGGAGCAAATTATAATAGTTTATTGAAAGACTTTAAAGAAGGCCTAAATAGTTGCGGAAAGATACGTTGTCCATGAATAGACGCAACATAATGATGTCGTTTCTCCCCAGTTGGATCTCACAAGTCAATGAAATTCTAGTCAAGATGCCAACAGGACTTTTAAGGAGTCTGTGAAGCTGATTCTTAAGGATGTGTGAAGAGTGAAAGGCCAAGAATGGCCAAGACTCTCTTGAAGTAGGATAGTGAGGTGCAGGCTTTGACCTAGCAGATACCGAGATTTACTGTGAAGTTTTAGCAAGATAGGATGGGGTTTTTTTTGCGGGGGGAGGGGGAGACAAATTATCAAATAGAAATAGACACATACATACATTGCAGTTGGACCTGTGAGAGGTGATTTCATATTAGTGTTACAAGGACGGTCATTTCAATAAATGGTGCCGGGAAAATTTTTATTTAATGTGGGGGAAAAAAGGTGTTTGGACTTAACCAGGTTTTTGTAGTAAGGCTCTGATTGTATATATAGAAAATACGCTCTAATTTGTTTTTGGAAGTGAGCCTAAGGAAATGACCACTTAGGAGCACTGCTCCCACCAAATATAGGAGACAGAGTGTTTCTATCCTAATATATGAAGTGCTCTTAAAAGTTAATCAGAAAAAAGATGAACCTTTATTATTTTGCTTTCCTGACTGATTTTGATCGATACTTGAGAACTGTCCCTCAGCCAGCAGCTATGACACAGGGTGGATTTATAAAAGGTAAAAGCCTTATTTGTCTTTTGTACTTAAAGCATGTCCCAGGTGGATGTGGATTCAGGAATCGAAAATATGGAGGTTGATGAAAACGATCGGAGAGAAAAAAGGAGCGTCAGCGATAAGGTTGGTAAGAGATGAAACCCTCGCTTCTGTTTTTAGTACAGGTAATATAAATAAACACCCCTTCCTTTCTTATGTCTATGGAGTCTGTTAGAGCAGGCCACCCCAAGTCAGCAAATCCTCTCTTTTTTTCTTCTGAGGAGAAACGCACAGCCTAGATTGCCCTAATGGAAGGGTAGCTCACTTTTTTTAGTCTGGTCAAATCCCTCCATTCCTTTGTGTTTCAGATCCATAGTTTTATCAGTAAATGTAGTTTGTGATGAGAATGCATTTAGAGGTAGTTTGGACTTTTTCTGTTGATCTTTTTTGCTTAAGCAAGTAGGTCATCACATTTTTGGTAGCATTCTGAGGAAAATGGTTGTGAAATCCAATAGCACTTAGAAGCCGAGGTCTTTATATTTTGTTATCATCTGAGCTTAGTTCCCTATGTTTAGCAAAAGAGATGTTTTCTTGGGGCGCCTGGGTGGCTCAGTCCGTTGGGCATCCAACTTTGGCTCGGGTCATGATCTCATGGTTCATGAGTTTGAGCCCCGTGTTGGGCTCGGTGCTGACAGCTCAGAGCCTGGAGCCTGCTTTCGATTCTGTGTCTCCCCCTCTCTCTGCCCCTCCCCTGCTCTCTCTCTCTCTCTCTCTCTCTCTCTCTCAAAAATAAATAAATAAAATGTTTAAAGAACGTGTTTTCTTTGGGGGGTGTCATGGTGAAGAACTGATAGAGATAATTGCATCTCTTTCTGTGCAGCAAATTATGAGTGTTGAGCAACCCGTTTTGGTGATTCTGTTGGACTGTGGCCTTTTAGTGGCACGATGCTTTGTTTTGCAGAGTTCTTTTGTTCTTATGGAGCTCTTTTATATATATATGATATTTTATCTGTGATGGAGACTAGTGGGTAACATTAAATTCTGGAGAATTTTTTGGATGAAAACGGGTTATGTGCGTAGAATGTTTACCTGGTCCTTTGGAGCTCAGAAAAGGAAAGAGATAAGATGTAGGTATATCCTTTATTCGTTTACTCCCTTGGTGATTACCGGTAATTCTGCTCTTTTGTCCCCCCACGCCCACCCCCACAGCTTCTATTGTAAACTCGTGAAATCGCCATGTCACAACTTTGCAGTCATAGTAACCAGCTTCTTGTTCCCCAAGTCAGTCGGCGCACAGTTGCATGCATTTCTAAAATCCCCTCATTCATAAATGAATTACTTGAAATTAACCCCCCAATCTTCTTCTCCACAAGGAGCCTTCATCGGGTTCTGAAGTGTCCGAAGAACAGGCCTTACAGCTGGTCTGTAAGATCTTTCGTGTCTCCTGGAAGGACCGGGACAGAGACGTCATCTTCCTTTCTTCTCTTTCTGCACAATTTAAGCAGAACCCAAAAGAAGGTAGGAATCTAGCTCAGCTGTTAAGAGAAAATAAGAATGTAAGATCCTTGGCCTTGGCCATTACCCACATTCACTTTCTCTTGCTTTGGGGTTGTAGTTTTGGCCATCAGAGGTGCTGTTGTTTGGCCACTTTCCACTGATCTTCCTGATACATTGGTTTTGTACTTTGATGATCTCTCTAGAAGAAAGCCGTATAAATATGCTAATGGTCTCCATTGTTTCCGAATTGAAGTTATTAATGTCTCTAATGAAGTAGGAGCATACTGGGTGGTCTCCAGGGATCCCGAGAGCTGCTCTGTATGACCTCTACCTGCTTTAAGTGCCGACCAACTCCTGTGTAGACAGTGGAGTACATTAACTTGATTGAATTGCTTCAGAAGATAGAACATATTGATATTTTGCTGTTTCCAGGATTCTATTTTAAGAGGCTACCCTAAACCGCACTCGTATAACAAATTAATAAAGCTTTTAGCAAGATACCAGCATTAAAGGGCACTGTCACTCTTCTTTACAGCAGTCATTTGGAATGCAGAAGAGAGAGGGGTGGTGTGGTAGTGTGCCTTTGCCTGTCACTAGAATATAACCTCCCCGGTGGCAGGGATTTTTGTCTGTTTTGCTCACTGATATAGTGCTAGTGCCTTCTACAGAAGGCTCTTAATAATTCCTCAGTAGATCTACTTTAAACGAGTGCACAGAAGATCATCTTTCCCTTTTCTGTGCTGCCCATCTTCCATGGCGAGAAAAGTCCCGAGTGTTCCTGGCAGACACGTAGTTTTCTTCTGATTTTACCGGGATCTTCTTATTAACGGGTCATAGACACGCTTAGCACCTGCATGTTTCTATCCCTGCCACTTGTTATTCTTACTGGAAACCTTAAGATTCTTAAATCTGTCTTGTGCATATATGACTGATAATTTTTAATAACCAAATCAGACAAGATTTACATCGGTTACAACTTTTATCTATTTAGTGATATATAAAATGTATCTAAAGACTTACAGTAGGCATTGGGGAGCTGCAGAGAATTAAGGGGAAAGTTAGAAAATAGAATTTTCTCCGGAAAGCCAGATGGTGACTAAATGTTAGACCCTTCATAAAATATTTTGAACCTCGCATTTGATAGTTTTACTGTACATAAAACATACGTAGGCGAAGAAATACGAACCCAGCTTTGTTTCCGGTATATGATAAATAGACACCTGTATTTGGGAGTGGCTTCTTTTTACAGTGAAATGTATGTCAGCAGCGATTCCCATTGGCTACACTCCAGTTTTCTTTCTTTTTTTAAATAAGTTTTGTATTTTGGAATAATTTTAGATTTACGGAAAAGTTTTAGACACCGTGCAGGGAGTTCCCGTATATCCTTCACCTAGGTTTCCCCTAACGTTAACATCTTAGGTAACCGCAATGTATTTGTCAGGACTAAGATCTTACTATTACTTCCACTCCAGACTTCATTTGGATTTCACCGGGTTTTCTACTGATGTCCTTGTACTGCTCCAGAATCCAATCCGGTTGCCACGCTGAACCTCTGGTTTAATGTGGGTTATTCAAGGACTGCCTATGTATATGAGGAACCATGTGTAACCTCTTCTTTCTTCTGCCTTTCCAACAGTGTTCTCCGATTTTAAGGACTTGATTGGCCAGATTTTAATGGAAGTGCTAATGATGTCTACCCAGACTAGAGATGAAAATCCATTTGCCAGTCTGACGGCCACATCGCAGCCAATTGCGGCGGCTCGGTCCCCGGACAGAAATCTCCTGCTAACTACCGGCTCCAACCCAGGAGCGAGCCCCATGTTCTGCGGTGTGGGCTCCTTCGGTGCCAGCTCGTTGTCTAGGTCAGTGTGGTTCCTTTCGCACATCTCATTGGTAGTAAAACAGCCACGAAGTATGTAAGAGAAGGGACTCTTCCCTCATGGGCCTTTGTCCTGCAGACTATGGCATGTATTGTATGTGGGTGGATGCATTTAGCCATTGCAGGAGGTGTGGTCTTTTCCGCTGGTCTGTTTGGCTTCCCATGGTTAGGCTCTTGGTAAATTTTGGAAACAAATGGCTGTATATATCGTACATTAATCCTTGGGAAGAGGGCTTTCCCATGTTGTAAATGTAGCCTCTAGATCCGCACAGCAGTTCGATTCTAATGATTTAGATGAGTCTGAAAGACGCGTACACTTGGCGTGTAATCACACTATTCTTTCAGAGCTTGAGATTTTCCTTTGCAGCTGTTTACCTCAAGTTTGTCTTCCGTTTTCTCTCCTTTCTCCTCTTTCTCAACTGCTCTAGCCTCTATGAAACGAGCCCCGCTCCCAGTACGAGTTTCTGGAGCGCGGTGCCGGTGCCGAGCCCGTCCGTTGCCTCGTCCCCTTGCCGTGCAGCCAGCCAGCCGGCTGCGCCTTCCGTTACCCTCAGTCCCCACGGGGCGGCTTCGGGGGCCGCCGCGGGGAGCCAGCCCTCCTCTCCACGGTATCGCCCCTACACGGTCGCCCACCCGTGGGGGCCTTCCGCTTCTGCCCCGCGGTCCCCAGGCATCTCCACTCTGTCCAGCTCGCCCGGCCGCCCTGCCCTCGCTAGTAGCCCTCAAGCAGTGCCTGCCAGCTGTCCCAGCCAGAGACCCTCCAGCCTGGGCCCACCTTTACTGGCCGCCTCGCCCAGTGCCGCGAGCAGACGCCCCTCATCCCTAAGGACCTCTCCTAGGTATTTATTTATTCAGCAGGAGAGCTGGGTGCGTGTTTGCAGTGCAGGGAGAGGCGATTAACTCGGTTTGAAAGAACTGGCGTGTGACACTGACCTCATTTGCGTGTGTTTTTCCGTTTGGGGTCATTAACCCGTGCGTCTAACTAGTTCGGTAGGCTCGCGCCCGGACTCCTCGCTTCTGCCAGGCTTTGCTAACTGTAGAAAGTGTGGGTGCTCCGTTGTGTGTCCCTTTCTTCTTGCCCCTCGCTCTTCCTCCTGACCGTACCAAAAAAAAAAAAGAAAAAGAAAAAGAAAAAAACCAACAACAAGAAGTCGCTTCACTTTCTGAAACCTAGCTCACCTGTCAATCCTCATCACAAATGAATTCCAGAGGCTGGAGGCAGTTTGTAGGTGAGAGCTGGGGCTCGTGGGAGCCCCTCTCAGCTCTCTGTACTGTTGCCAATCATAGTTGAAACGCAGTCAGCCCGGGGGGTGGTGGGAGCAAGTCTGGGCTGGTGCCCCTCACCCCCGATCACTGCGGCTGGGCCGGTGTTTGTGCCTTGACGCTCTGATTCGAGCCTCTCAGAAAGAAGCGGCGTCAGCATTCTGCTAACCAGTGCCCCCCGCCCCCTCGCAGACGCACCTGTGCATTTATGCGATGGGGGTGAATGGTGTTCCTGCATGTCAGCAGGCAGAACTTTCAGCGTAACGTTTAATTTAAAAGGGACAGGAGTTGCAAAAGCTTTCCGTCTCTTGTTTTTTCTTTGTTCCCTCATGACCTTTTTTGCTTTTGTTGTGGTAGCATGCACGACAATCCTTTCTCCTTCCTCTTCCTCGCGCTTTCTGGCGACAGTAGTGATGACGATGAAGAAGATGATGATGATGGTGATGATGGTGATGATGAAGGTGGTGGTGGTGGTGATGAGTTTTCTTGTGTCCAGTTTGGGTCCAGGTATCAGAGGAATGGAGTCTCACCCCTGCATGTGCCTAGGTGCTTAGGAACTAACTTTCGTGAGCCCTCATTAGGGGTGTGCTTTGAGTCTAGACAGGATAGGGTCAGATGAGACAGTCGGGAGAGTTAAGACTGGGAAACCTGCATGTACCAAGGTGGTAGGACCTTATCACGGGGTAAAGTGGCACATTAGGAACACCCTCATCATTGTTGCCCGGTAAGTTTAGAGGAAAACTTATGCGTAATCATTGGTCAGAAATACAAGCAGCAGATTAAAGATCGGTTGTTGAGTTCACCCACCCTGAGATCAGAAACGAGGGGCCCTTCGTTTACCTATCGCGAGTGTTCTTGTGAGCTGCCGGATATGAGCAACATGTTTCCCGTGAGGCATGCTGTCTTACGTACAGTTGCATGGATTGCTGCTACTCACGAATGGCAGAGGGGCCGGGATGGCGTGTGTGTGTGTGTGTGCGTGTCGGTTCCCCCCCCCTTTTCCACCCCCACTCTGTCTGACGGTCAGTCTGTCGAAGAGCATGTTGGGCCACACTGTCTGTTATAACCGTGAATCTGGTTTCACTTCTAGCCTTCAACTTCACCAATCACCACCTTGGCCTCAGCGAAGCTAGACCCTTGTTTAGACAGCCTTTGGAATGGCAGCAGAGGCTAAAACACAGTTCACGATGCTGCTGACTGTTCGTTCCCCCCTGAAAACCTGAAAACCCCCCTGAAAACCCTGAAAACACTGTTTGGGGTTCTAGGTGACTTTGGGCAAGAAAATATAATAGCACCTTCTTTCTGAACCTCTGACTCATTGTCTTACAATTTTGCTCTGAAATCGAAGTTTCCACTGGACTGACTTGGTATTTGTGCCCGGCACTGTTCAAAAATAACTCCAGGCTATAAATAGAGACAGCAGTAGGAGTTAGGTACACTTCATTAAATTTGACAGTGTTCAGAAGAATCATTAGAGAGAGTATATAGAGAGAGAAAGGAGTGTGGGTGCAGGGTTGAATATTGATTCAGGAGGGTTGATATTTGTATTAGGTTGAACATTATATTACTGTTTTCCCAAGTAAATTTCCCAAAGGTAGAAGTGTCTTTTTCATGTAGATAAAATCCTACTTCCCGATTACAGTAATGCAGCAGGCATCCTTTTTTTTTTCTTTAATGTTTATTCATCCATTTTTGAGAGAGAGAGAGAGAGACAGCACGAACCGGGGAGGGACAGAGAGAGAGAGAGAGGAAGGCACAGAATCCGAAGCAGGCTCCAGGCTCTGAGCTGTCAGCACAGAGCCCGACACGGGGCTCGAACTCACAAACCGTGAGATCATGACGTGAGCCAAAGTTGGATGTTTAACCATCTGAGCCCCCGAGCCCCCGAGCAGGCATCCTTTTTAGGAGTCAGTTTCCATACATAATAAAAGTGCTTTGTTACCTGTCTTACTGTAAATTGTAGGAGAAATGCTGTCTGTCCCTGGCCTGTTTAATTCCAGCGTGCTCTCACAAAGATTTCAGATTGTGTGCTGCTTTCACTAGCGCTGCACTCCCAGCATCCTGACCTTGTCTCTGATCTAGATTCTGTGGCCACAAGGAGAGAGAACGGACTGTGTAATAATAGCTCCAAATACTTACTGAGCCTCGTGTGCCAGACCCTGAGCCAGCACACTGCACGCATTATCCCTTTATCCTCACAGCGGCCCTCCCAATTACCGTAAGGAACGTGGGGACAGGGAGGTCAGTCACATAACTGGTACGTGGCAGGGCCCGAGTCCAGAACTCACCTGCTTCACCCCCACTCGCAATAGGACCTGTGTCGTTCTTGCTCCTCATACTAGTTATTTCGCTGCCCAGTGTTTATGCTTCTACTCTGTTCCTTGGCAAGGAAGCACCAACATTTTACTCGGTAATTACAAAATTCCATTCAGTTGGCAGGTCCTTTGCTGGCTGTTAAAACAGAATCTGATCTCTCCAGATTTTGGCAACTTCGAGTTTTTGAATAGATCTCAAACAGAATGTGAAAGGATGGGTAAAAAAAAATGGTAACTGATTAAAGCACACCGAGAGGAACTCGAGAATGCTTGTGGGGTCAGAACCGAGAAGAGGTCATAAAAAACCTTGTCAGTTTGAGTGATCAGGAAGCAAATAGTTATTTTCTTTCTCCCCCTTTCTAAGTGATCTTCCCAGAATTTTGTTTACTGTGAAGTAAGCAATTTCAACACCTACTTCTTGCCCAGTGATGTTAACGTCATAGAGGAAAGAATCAACAGGGGCTGCATCTGTCTCCCCTTCTGCTTGCCCGGTGGAGTTGATGCTGGAGTTGATGCTGGAGTTGACGCGTTAAGAATGTTTTTGGAAATAGTTGGGAATACATTCGTATGCTAATTATCTATAGTGGTGATGAAAAGGACTAATTTAAGAACGGTGAAACATTCCTGGGGCGCCTGAATGGCTCAGTTGGCCAAGTGTCTCACTTTGGTTCAAGCTCCGCATCGGGCTCTCTGGTGTCAGCACGGAGCCTGCTTTAACGTTTGTCTCCTTTTCCCCACTTCCCCCCCAAGAGCACAGGCACGCTCTTTCTCAAAATTAAACATTTTTAAAAATTTGAAAGAAAGAAAGGTAAAACGCTCCTTCCGTGATGTTCTATAGCCCTCTGTGAAGAGAGTTATAGGAATTAGGATCAGCTTGTTGTCGGAGTGGACACGGGGAGCGAGAGCATCTTGTATAAGGAGAACATAGTGGTTCCTCTGAGAATTTTTCCAATTGTATCCTAAGAAATTGATGATGGGAAAGAAATCTGTTTTTAACTGCTTAGATGTTTCAGCGAAGGAGAGAAAATTTTGACAGTCGTGAACCTGTGTGAATAGAGAAAGGGAAAATCAGCAAGTAGTGAAAAATGTTGACATTTCCATCACCACTTGGCAATGAAACTTGGAAATAGTTCCACCATGTCTGTGTCCAAACCCTCCGGTAATGTCCCTTGTCGTGCGGAGTAAAACCCAAAGCCTCGCCCTGGTGCACGAGACCCTTCGTCTCATGTACACCCACGTGCGCACACACGTGTGCGTTCCTCCTTTCTAACCTCACGTGCCTCCACTTGCCTTCGCCCTCTGCTGCTCACGACCCTGTTCTTGACCTCACTTGGCATATTCCCCGCCGCCTTAGGCCTTCACACTTACTTCCTCTCTTTGGATGGCCTGCCCCAAGAGGGCTGCGTGGCTTGCTCCGCGCTGACTCCCTCGGGTCTCCCCGTGTGCATGCTGTCTTATCAGAGGGTCATATCACACAGCATATAAAATGCACGCGCGCGCTTCCTGCCTGTCTCTGTCACCATGCTCTGCTTTTATTTTTCTTCATGGCGTCTCTATATTGTTTTGGACCGTTCCCCTCTAGAACCTACTCACCACACAAGCAGGGTCTTGATCTGTTCGAGTTAGTGTGCTGCCCCCAGAGCCTACGACAGTGCCTGCCATACAGAAGGGACACCGTGAACATTCGTTCGATGAATTGACATTGCTCGAACCTGTACAGCTCTGACTTTGCCTTGCAGTGCGAAAACACAAAACACTAAAGTCTGCATTCCAAAAAATGAGTAAATAGGAGGGTGCGTTATAGAAAAAATGAAACTGCCGTGGAATCCTTTTAAGGAACACTTTTCTTGGTGCCTTTCAAATGGGATTCGATTTGCACAGGTCTAATGCATGCGTGACTCCCCAGGAAGATGTTCATTGGCTTTTCAGAAGCATTCAGATGTATTTCTATTATGCAGAGTAATTACATTCAATTGGACTGTTGATGTAGTTATCAGAAAATGGCTCGTAAATCCTCCCAGAGGGCAGTGTAACTTTGTAGATAACTTGTAGGACTTAAATATGACGTATTTCCAGCGTGGTATTCCACGTGTCACAGTTGTAAAAGCATCACGAATTCTGGGATGATTTCTTTTTTAGGGAAAAAAGTGAAATGTTATTTGAAAACTTTAAAGATGTTTATTGGTAGCCTGAACGTATGCACATAAACACGACACCACTTTCTCCCTCAGTGTCGCGTTCAAAATGTGAATACAGCGCTTTCACTTGGAACCTGAGGAGCCTTGTCAGTTTTGCTCGTTGAGACCTCTGTGTAGCATCGTTGGGACTGGCTGCCTTTCCCGCTAGGGTCGTGGTTTACTTTAGGATTGATTCTAAAATTTGTAATATATGGACAAGTACTGGAGTTTTCTCTACAGTTCCAGTTTGGTTAAATTTTGTTTCACTGTTTGGTCTTCCTCTCTTCTTAAAATTTTTTTTTTTCAACGTTTATTTATTTTTTTGGGACAGAGAGAGACAGAGCATGAACGGGGGAGGGGCAGAGAGAGAGGGAGACACAGAATCGGGAACAGGCTCCAGGCTCTGAGCCATCAGCCCAGAGCCCGACGCGGGGCTTGAACTCCCGGACCGCGAGATCATGACCTGGCTGAAGCCGGACGCTCAACCGACTGCGCCACCCAGGCGCCCGTATCTTCCTCTCTTCTTAAAAAGTCAATGGAAGTGTCACTTGGGGTCTGACCGACGATCACCAAAACGTAGCCGCCTCTTTTAGCTTTGAACATTCTCTCATGTATTCTGAGCGCCTTTGTTCTCATTGCCTGGCATAAGACCAGCGATCTTCTACATACACTGTTGCTTTTCATGATCTTAGCGAGATCATCGTGGAGATACCTCAGCTGGCTTTGAGGTGTTCACATTTAAGTTAAAATTAAATGGCAAGCGTTGGCTAAGAATGGAACCCACAGCACCCAGTGTCAGTGCATGACTCCATGTGAACTGGGTCACACTGACCCCTTGCAACTGGCAAGAGCCTGTCGACATCAAATATGAGGTGCTTTTCATTTCAGAAACGTAAAAACGTGAAAATTTTGGGTCTCGTTACCAAGGAAATTGTATAGTTGAACTTTCTCGTTTTAAACAGGAGGATGGTCTGTTTTCATTCTCTTCCACAAGAGCCACTCAAAGGAAGATTAGCCTTAGTTGTGTGTAGGTAAAGCCTGTGTTGGTAAAGTTCATCTTTGGAAGCACAGGGAATAATCTAGTCACTGAGTCACCAACATCAGACAGAAGAAGAAAGAATTGCAGTTAGTTTGAAACTAAAGTGGTGCAGTAACGGAAATAGCTCTCGGGGCGCCTGGGGGGCTCAGTCGGTTAAGCGTCCGACTTCGGCTCAGGTCATGATCTCACGGCTTGTGAGTTCAAGCCCCGTATCGGGCTCTGTGCCGACAGCTCAGAGCCTGGAGCCTGCTTCAGATTCTGTGTTTCCTTCTCCCTCTGTCCCTCCCCTGCTCACACTCTGTGTCTCTCTCGCTCTCAGAAATAAACATTAAAAATACATCTATAAAAAAAGAAAATAGCTCTTTTTCTCCTTTCTACTTCTGGGGATTCATCTCTTATATTTATATTATATTTGTGGGTGGGTTTTTCTGTTTTGTTCTTATGGTTGCTTTTTTTTCTTTTTTTTTCCTCCCATTGCTTTCTATTTCCTTCCCTTCTGTCAGACTTGTAGAGTAGGTTGTAGGAATTCAGATTTGTAGACTCTGGGCTGAAAGCCTTGCATTTAAAACTGGCATTGTTTTCATCTTTTTAACGTTAATATCATACTTTCATTCCAAGGTCAGTTATGTATCCACTTGACCCTTCAGCAACAGGGTTTGACCCACGTATGTGTGGATTTTTTTGGTAAATACAGTATGGTATACCTCAAATGTATTTTCCCTGTGATTTTCTTAATATTTTCTTTTCTCTAGCTTAAGAGTAATACTTAAGAATATGCTGTAAGGATACAGTATATAATACACATACAAAATGACATGTTAATCGACTGCTTGGTTGTTGGTAAGACTTCTGGTCAATAGTAGGCTGTTAGCAAAGTTTTGGGGGTGTCAAAAGTTAAATGCATGGAAGTGGCATCCCTAATCCCTGTGTTGTTCAAGGATCAACTGGATTTTTCTGAAATTCTAAGGTCAATTACATATATATTCCAAAATTAGTTATGTATATATATGCACCTGTCTGCATAGCGTATTGTTTATATCTCAACCCCTGTTGGTCCTGTGGGTTTCTAGCCTTTAATTGTCTGCCCCAGTTGAAGGAGGCTGGGTCTCCAGTTTGCGATCTTTTTCCCATCCTTTATCATCTTTCCTATATAATTTTGGGGGCTAAGTTTATCTTTTCTCATTTTCTTTTCACCTCCAAATTTCTGCCCTCTCCGTGTGCCGTGATTACTCTCCGTGTGCCTTTTGTGTGGGGATCAAATAAATCTGTGAGTCAAACATCAGATTTGGTATGTGACTTGCTGATGGACGATCCGTTCTTTAGTTTCCTCACACCCAACCCCTGAGACAGTGTTTGGTGTTGGTCTCAGAGAATAGTTACGACCAATCATAAGTGCTTCGTGTTGTATCCTGCTTCTGATTTACAAAACGCTTCCACTTGCTCTCACTTCAAGCCTCGCTGCTGATGGGATGGGGTTGGTTCTAGGCTCGGGCAGTCAGGAAGCAGTACGGCTGGGATCCAACCCAAGTTTGGATACTCCTAGTGCAGGATTTTTGTTTCGTTTGTTTTTTACTGTGCTCCCTTGCCTCTGTCGCTGAAAGTTTTGGAAGTCTTTGTGTTCGTAACAAATACTTTTATGTTTCCTTCTCTAACTGGACAGATTTCCTTTTCTGGTCCTATTGCCAAATGGTGGGTGAAGGCCTTTGAGATTTATGGCAGAAGTCACGAGGAGTATTCTGTTAGTCTTTGTCACTTCACTCCCGAAGTGTTTGATCACAGCAGTAGCATAGTCCGGTTTCAACTTACCAGTGTGCCCGAGTGGAGCCGGCCAGCTTGGTTTTAGTACATGTGATATCCCTTCAGATGCCTGGCACACGGTGGCAGTTCTTAGCCCTCCTGGCTTCGTAAGCTGCCGTTCCCAAAAAGATAAGAAGTCGGATTTCTGATCCAACTCTCTTCTTAGGTCAGTAAAATGTTTACTAAGAGTTACTGTTGTTGGCCTTGGAGCAGGTGAAATCAGAGGTCAGCTCCAGGCTTGGCTGCATGGGTGTCTGTGTTTTGTCCTGGGTGCAGGGATCCTAACAGGCTTTCTGCTACAGAAATGCAGACTCTAGCAAAAATAATCGATTCCGAGAAGAGATAAGAATCATCGATTTTCTTTTCTCTTCTCCAAAGTTTGGGAGCCTCTGGTGGGACAGGTACTTGGGATTCCTACAGTGACCATTTCACCATCGAGACCTGCAAGGAGACAGACATGCTGAACTACCTCATCGAGTGTTTTGACCGAGTTGGAATAGAGGAAAAAAAAGCACCAAAGGTAATATGAGATAGATGCATTTCAAAAACCCACAAAAACCTGGTTATTTTTTGATAAATAATCATCCCTCCCGCCCTTCCAAGGAACATTCATTTATTCGGTCAGGAAAATGGTTCTCAAGCATGCAATATGCACCAGGCACCAGACCAGGAGCTCGAGGTATATTAGGGAACAGAACAGACAGAGATCCCTACCCTCACGGAACTCACATTCTAGTGGAAAGAAGAAGTGATGGGGGCAAGTGCCATTGCCACCAGCGACTTATAATAATTCCGATAATTACAATTTTCCCGATAATTTCCGAGAGCCTGTCGCAAGTGTAATAATCACCCGCATTTATGGAGTGCCAACACTGTGCGAGGTTGGGTGTTGTTTTTATTGTCTCAGTAAGCACACGAACCTCAGGGACATTAATTGTCCATAATCACATAAAAATTACAAAATTGGCTTTAAACTCGAAGCTATACTTTCTCTGCTGTTTCGTGCAGACTCTATTATTATTTCCTTCCCAGTTCACTGTCTGCTTCTAGTTTTCCAAACTAGTCCTCTTGTCCACCTGTTAGTTATGCTTGTGAAGGGCTTCCCCGGGCTTTGTTGCTCGTCACCATAGCAAAGGCAGAGAGCATGCCCACATCTGTGCGGTCCCCCATTGGTCACCCCGCACTTCTGCTCTTTCTTCTCTGACCGTAGATTTCAGCGGAGGCAGCACACTTGGAGGATAGGGTTACTCTGGTTGGTTCATTGTGAGTAAAGCAAGAGAAAAACATGCTGTTTCCCGGAGATCGATCTCTTCTGACTCTTGTCAATTTTCAGCAGTGCAGCACTCTTTTGTTTGTTTGTGCAGCCCTAACCTGCGCCTTTCATTTCAGATGTGCAGCCAGCCAGCGGTCAGCCAGCTTCTGAGCAACATCCGCTCACAGTGCATATCCCACACCGCGCTAGTTCTACAAGGTTCCCTGACACAGCCAAGGTGGGCAGAACCATACTTGCTCCTGTTAACAGGGAGAGGACCCTGTGCATCAGCGGACGTCAGGCTGCCCAGACACCTTGCGCCACCTTGGATAATGCACCCTCTCACCTGTAAAACAAAAGTGGTGACTTTGTTGAGGTCACTTTGACTAGGTGACCGCTGAGGTCCCTTCCCTTCTCTGAAACAGTGTGAAAAGAAACCAAGCCACTCTCTGTCTGCTTTCTTTGTGGACCATTGTTGAAATATGTCAACGTCAAGGCAGGAAATGAGTATTTAGTTTAACAGCAGCTGCTTGAAATCAGGGGAGGTACTTGGAAAAGTGTGTAGGTCATCGCTTTCCGTATATCATACAATCGCTTTCTGTTATTCAGTAATAAACAAAAATGGTAGAATAGTTAATTGGGGAATCGCCAAAGCATACTACATTATTCGCTGGTTGTTTCTGAGGGTCCCGTAAAGGTTCAGTATAGTTCAATAAAAGTATTTGCAGATTTCATGTATTTTCTGAAAAATATCTGAAGGAAACATGATGCAGAAATATCTAAGTTAAGAATGGCAAAGTTACAACATTTATTTGTTCTGGATGTTGTTCTGTTATTTTCTGTGCCATAACCATATGTTTTTGAAACTTGTCACAAAGAAGGAAAAGGAAGGGAGTGCCTGGTTGGCTTAGTCAGTGGAGCATACACTCTGGATCTCAGACTCGTGGGTTTGAGCCCCATGTTGGGTGTAGAGATAAATAAATAAACTTTAAAAACAACAACAAAAAAAAAAAAAAAAAAAAAAAAAAAAGAAGAAGGAGGAGGAAATGGTTAAACATGTACCAAAACATTACAAAAAAAAAAAATTCTATTAAAATTAATAAGAGTTTTTAAAAAGTCCTCAGCTACTGCTGATCTTTTCTTTTCAACTGGATGAGACATAAACAAGTAAAAGAGATATATAAGGCTTCCTTTTTGGGGGTACTGCTTTATTTTTAAAGGGTCGAATGTAGGAAAACATGGATTCTTTGAAACTTTCCATAGTCTCTCGTTAAAAAGACCAAAAAGGGATTATTAACAATAGGAAAGGTGATCTTTTGCCTAAAACCGTTACGTAGAGTATTTGGGAGATTCCAGGTTTGACTTTTGACTGGACCCTTCCGCTGATGTGACAGCCCGTGTGCCGTGTTGTCACCCAGTGAGGAGCTGAGCCATCACAGTCCTTGTCTTTTTGTGGGTTGGCAGGTCCGTGCTCCAGCCGTCCTTCCTGGTGCCGTATATGCTGTGCCGGAATCTCCCGTATGGCTTCATGCAGGAGCTGGTGAGAACCACTCACCAGGATGAAGAAGTGTTCAAGCAGGTGAGGGTTTGTGAGTTCGTTACCGAAGCTTTTAGCCGAGGAGCTCCTGTGCTGATTTCTAAAGGCACCATGCATTGGAAACTTCTGTTTCTGACTGTGATCTGCATGCATTATTTGCTCAGAGAGCTCTGCTTGATCTTTTTTCTTTTCTTTTCTTTTCTTTTCTTTTCTTTTCTTTTCTTTTCTTTTCTTTTCTTTTCTTTTCTCTTTTCCTTTCCCTTCCTTCCTTCCTTCCTTTCTTTCTTTCTTTCTTTCTTTCTTTCTTTCATGTTTTATTTATTTTTGAGAGAGATACTTGGAGTATGAGCAGGGAAGCCGGGCAGAGAGAGAGGGAGACACAGAATCTGAAGCATACTCCATGCTGTCAGCACAGAGCCTGACGCGGGGCTCGAACTTGTGAACCGCAGGATCGTGACCTGAGCCGAAGTCGGACGCTTTCTCTCTTGAGATGATTGGATTGACAGCTGCATTGTTCCAATCATTTGTCCACCTCAGTCAGTCAAGCATCGAGTGTTTTAAACAGTGTGTTAGTGCCATGGGAGGGAAGCACTAGCAGGCCCAGTCCCCGATTCCAAGGCTCTTTTAACACAAGAATACCGAGAGGTAGCATGAGATACAATGTGCGTTTGCCGGTTGAGTCATATTGGAAATTAGTTCTCTGAGTTTACAGAAAAAGATCAGTAAGTCAGTGACTAAATTAGCTCCGTGGCAGTCTGCGCACCCATAGAATCTTCTGTCTTCTCACCACTAAACTGGGAATGAGATCTCATGTCTTGCTAATGACTTCTCTCATTAAGTAGTCATACGGTTTTTATATCTCGCCGTGTGAAGTCAAGTGGAAATGCAGATAGGGGATATTTTGTAATAAAGCTATTTATTTAGCCTCAAAGGTCTCTTCATGGTGAAACTTTGGCATCGCTTTTGGTGGTTGTTTTCCGGCCTGTGTTGTGAACACTTTGCCACAGCAACTTTCACACAAGCCACATCCCTTGATGGAGGGATTTTTAAGACATTTTCTTACAGTAGACTGTGTGATCATGAAAGAGTAGCTGTCATTGATAGGATTCCTTGTCATCTATTTGAATACCTAGTATTATTTGTCACTATTAATTTTAAGGCCTTTGAAATCTCAGGAATTGTGTTTTACCAGCTTCCCAAATATTAGTAAAGGATGAATCCGGGAGCCAAGCTCCCAGTTAGTATTGTGACTATGTCTGCAATTCCTCGAGTACTTTCCTTGGATGTGTCTAGAATTACTCGAGTACTTTCCTTGGATGATGGTCTTGTTGACTTGCAGGAATACTTAACGCAGCATAGTGAGCTTTCCTTCTCTAGAAAGGTAAGCGAACTCTGTTGAAAATAAATAGCTGTCTCGCGAGGTTCAAGCACACACTCTGGTGTGTGTGCGATATGCACTAATTAGATTCCTTTTCCTCTTCTACGAGACCTCATTTGAGGAACCCAGAGTAGCTTTAGCTATATAAAACCAGGCCAGTGATCAAGGGCGTGGCGGGGGGGCTCAGTCAGTTAAACGTCCGACTCTTGGTTTCGGCTCAAGTCATGGTCTCACGATTCATGAGTTCAAGCCCTGTGAGGGGCTCTATGCTGACCGTGCAGAGCCTGCTTGGGATTCTCTCTCTCCCTCTCTCTCTGCCCCGCCTCTGCACTCACACATACCCTCTCTCTCAAAATAAATAAATAAACTTTAAGGGGCGCCTGGGTGGCGCAGTCGGTTAAGCGTCCAACTTCAGCCAGGTCACGATCTCGCGGTCCGTGAGTTCGAGCCCCGCGTCAGGCTCTGGGCTGATGGTTCAGAGCCTGGAGCCTGTTTCCGATTCTGTGTCTCCCTCTCTCTCTGCCCCTCCCCCGTTCATGCTCTGTCTCTCTCTGTCCCAAAAATAAATAAAAACGTTGAAAAAAAAATTAAAAAACAAAACAAAACAAAAAACATTTAATAAAAATAGAAAGGTTTAACATCAGCCCAGTGATCAGCTGACAGGGGTACTGTCCCTATTTTATTCTAAAGAAACTTACACAGAGTTAACACAGTGATCTCTTTTTTTTTTTAATTGAGATGAAATTCCCGTAACATAAAATTAACCAATTCAGTGGCATTTAGTACATTCACAGTGTTGTGCAACCACTATTGCTTTTTAATCACAGCATTCTGATGCCTTTTCTGCCACTCAATCTCGAACACTTCCTCTGTCTTACGAGTTACCTTGTATTTTTTCTAGAGAGAAATAAATGATGAGTGAGTGGACTTTGAATCACCAACAAACATATACCGCATAAACACCACACATATACCATACATAAAATCCATCAAAAAATAAAAATAAAAATACATAAGTCACAAATACCATAATGCTTGACTATTTGAAAAATATTATACCTAATAATACCTTGTCTACCGTAAATTAAATCCTACCTGCAGAAAAGGATAACTCTACTAGAAGGATAAATATGATAGCATTCTGGGGGAAAAGTTTGAGAGTTTTCTAGTGACCAGTTGTGAAATTTATTTTTGGTGATTTGGGAAGTTCAGTTTTGTTTTTTTCTTGATTGTAATTTTGTCATTTCCCCGACCCCACACCTAAGCTTTACCTGTCCATGTTTAGCTAGCTTCCAACAGTACGTTACTTCTACCCTGACAGTTTGAGTTGCAGAAACTAGAACCATCTTTTCCAGAGCTGTCTTTTTATCTCAAGACACTCCACAGGCACTTTGTAATCCAGGGTACTTTTTTTTTTTTTTTTTTTTTTTTAATCCTGTGCTCCTTAAATGAAACTGCTTGATACAATGGGACGAAATTAGTAGGAGAGGGAATTTGTCAGATTTTCTAGTGGCTTGATAGAATACTCCCATTTCAGCTTGTTGGCATTTGGATTGTCAGCTGTTGTTTATACCATTTTCTACTTAATGTTATTAGTCTGGAATCCCGGCCAACTCCCTAAGTGTGTCAATCAGTGGGCGCATTGTGACATCTGAAGATGAGTTGTACTGAGCAGATCTCACATGGTGATAATGTGCCCTGGCATTAGTGATAAACTTGTAAAAATAAACATAGGTGCCCTCCTTAAGCTCTGATCTCACGTTATTGTATTAATTATACCACACATGGAGGTAAGTCATTCCAATCAAGTTTTCTTTTATATTTTCAACATTTATCAACCGTCTTTTTACTCTGCATAATTAAAGTTAATATCACGATAATAAGATCCATTACAGGTTTATTTTTCTTGTTCTCTTCAAAATAAATAGGGAGAGATGAGAAGAATCAGATGGAGGTGGGAGAGCGGCAGCAAAGACTTTTTCAAAATACTGATAGAGCTGGGAAAATATTGGAACATTTAGTCTAGCTTCTGTACAGATTATAGGTGCTTGGTAATCAGAAACCTATTCATTGCTGAGATGTACAGAATTGAGTTGATAAGGTGAGGACCCCTTGGGGACTCCTAGAACAGGCTCGAAAATTGTGAGTTTCTGCTGAGTCCCTCGGAGTCCTGCCAGAGAATTAGGACTCACCGAATCCTGTTACTTCTGGAAAATTCAGCTATATTACTTTATGGTTAGCCTCATCAAAGGACAGCCACATGCCATGGCTAGATACTAGACCCCTTTATAAACAAAACAGGTTTTCCCTGGGGAAGGTGGAAATGCTTGGGCATTCAGATTTGGCACTTTATTTAACATGCCTCCTGTTCTTATGTTTTCCTGAACTTACAGTTCTGATTTATTTTTTTTCTTACAGATCTTTATCCCCATTTTACAAGGCCTGGCTCTCGCTGCCAAAGAGTGCTCCCTCGATAGTGACTACTTTAAATACCCCCTCATGGTAAAACTTGGCTCTTTTTCTTTAAGCCGTTCATTAAATGCTTTTCTTCCAGATTATTTTAACGCACACTTTTCTTTCAGGTCCGCGATTAACCTTGTTTTTACATTTAAAACATGAAAGCATTGCGTTGGCCTTGCGGTGTTTGCTGTGAAGAGAGTTTTAGCGCTGGGACGTGTTGCGCCCATCCGAGCCCTAGACAGGAGTCGGGGACGCACCCTTAAAATGCACTTCCCCTTCTAGCGTAGCTTATGAAAATGACAATTCTGGGCGGTGTCCTTCTGATTCTCCTAACAGGCATATAATAACTGCAACGAAATTTTGTTACTGAAAAAATTTTTAAAAGCTATTACAAATTCAAATAAGAAGGTAGAGCTGTACTAGGAAAACTAGTCCAACTTTATGTAGTGACTTTCTACGGAAAAGCCTCAGTAGGTTGCTTGTTTATCTTCCCCGTTCCCTTCAAGTTTCATGTGGGAGACAGATCTGCTCGTCTCTGTAAGGTACTTAAGAGCAAGCGTTGAGTCATGGACAGAACTTTCCTCCAGATTCCCATCGAGGGCCTTGATTGTTGTGAAAACAGCTAGAACCAGGTAGAAGAAAAAGGCAGGGGCGGGGGAGGCTCTTCTCTGAATTTGCTTCTTGGAAATTTTTGGAGAAAACTACCCTGATGTCTATTTTTCACTCTAGAAATGTGAAGGAAAAAGGATCAAAATACGAAACGAGCCAACTCTATGAATAAATACAACCTTGTGTAAGCCAAGGCCCTGGTTACACTGATATTTTTACTGGAGTTGTTCCTTTTACTCATTCTTCCTACTGACTTAATTCCATTTTCCCGTTAACTCGGTACCCACCGAGGACCTATTCTGTGCCAGATACCGGGGCTGCTTAGACAAGGTGCCCCTCTGCGAGTTGCTCCTGACTTACTGCAAAACTCAAGTCCACAACAGCGCAATCAGATAATCACACTGTGATAAATGCTAACACGGAGCGGTACACGAGGGGTGCAATGATCTCTTTTAATACATCAATTTTAATATGTGTGCTTAATCAAAACTGAGCTAAAAATCTTAAGTGCTGGGAAATCAGAAGGTGAAATGGGAATTCTTAGTTTTAAAAATAACTTTGAATGGCTACATGTCAAGGCTCTTTCCACTGCACATGCTATTCAAGTTTCTAATAAAATTCTGTTAATCCTTATGCACTTTCCTGTCTGTGCCAGATAAAGGGAAGTGAGATCATCTGATTGTTTGAGTTCAGTGATGAAATGAGTGCACATTAATTATCGCTCTATTATGTAAATGTTCCTTCATGGAACTGTGGGCTTTTCTGTTGGGGACTGATGTGGCTTGATGTTTCGGTAAGGAGCTTTTAGTGTCAGAGATCAACAAAACGTTCTTGGTCAAAAGACAAAGGCCTCCATTATGGCAGACAATAGTTTGATTTTATACCATTAGTGCTGCTCGGATGGCCATGAGAGTGTGGTGCAAGGAAGGACAATGGGGGCAGGAAGAGGAAGACCGCTGCAGCTAGAATCAGAAACAATCGTGATTATTCTCCGGCTCAGCGCATCCCTGCGTTGCCGTACCCTGGAATCAACTGGGGATCTTCAAAAAATACCGCCACCCGGCTCCTAGCCGTGATTCCCCCCATCATGGGTGTGGTGAGGGTGGGGCCTGGCATTGGGCTTTTCCAGCTTCCCAGGTGATCCTCTTGCGCAGCACCATGTGGGAACCCCTGCGCTAGGCACTGAGAGCTTTTCCTTTGCGGTAGCCCTCTGAGCCTCAGTGGCACCTCGAGGCACATCGGCGCCTAAGTGCGTCGACTCAGAAGCTTCCATTGACTGGTTTAGCAACTTGTGTAGCTCTCTTCAAATCACAGAAGATTAAGCTCACTGTTAAAGTAGCATTTGACTGGAATACTATGGCCATGTTAAACTGTGTTCATGCCCCTAAAAACAATTTTTCCTGCTTCCCTAATGTGAGAATGATTGGAGCTCCAAAGGAAAGTGTTGGAGTTCTCAAAAACATCAGAGGTCTTGAAACCATGTAATACTTTTCTTTTATTTTTTTTCCATGTAATAGTTTTAAATATGTTCTGAATTTGGTTGCTTATTAGATTGTAATTAGTTGTAGTGCCAATTAGCACTGGAAAGAGCAGTCATCTAAAGTTCACGAAGCATGTCTTTTTTGACATGGAGAGATGTTAAGTGAAAACATCATTTTTTTATAAAAATATACGCATTTATCTCCGTGTGTGTATGCACAGAAATATCTCCGGCAAGCTATTAGCTAAGATATCGATAGAGGGTAAAGTTTATGAATGGTTCTTAGCTTCATTTTATATTTCTGTTTTATCTGAAGTTTTTACATTGAGCGGGAATTAACTGGTTCATCAGAAAAGCAGTGAAGCTGTTAGTGTTTTGGAAGGAATGCGTATAAATTTATAGCAGCATTAAAGCTGTGCCTTGATATTACACGTGGCAGTCAGTTTAAGGTGAAATACGCTTAAGCTACCCTTTCTGATCTTATTTCTAGGCTTTAGGTGAGCTCTGTGAAACCAAGTTTGGGAAGACACACCCTGTGTGCAATTTGGTGAGTGCCTTCCTAACGGACTTTCATATATTCGGGGGATGTCTAACTCAGAAGATCTCCCTTGAGTAACATTATCTGAAAGACATCGCTGAGAGGACATTTAGATGAGATGTAGGTAGCACGTCCGGGGCGGCTCGCAGCGGTTCAGTCAGTTAACCCTGCACGTTACTGCCTGGGATCGTGTTATTTATCTTCTTTTGTGGTTTCTGTAGAAGTATGGTGCAACTAGGCGAGCAAGTCCTATGGAAAACTTGACCTGGCCTTTGAGAGTGGAAGAGTAGCTCGTCTGAACTCTGTCGAAGAGCTTCTTGAAACATAAAAGTTCAGAGACGATCTTGTAAAAACGTAGAGGGGTTGGAGGCTTCTCCTCCTCCATCGGAGACGAGAAAATACCAACAGGGTTCCTAGCACATTGTGAGCTTTGGGTTTTTGTGTGTTAGCTGTCAGCCGTCGTACTGGTGGCTGAGAGCCAGCTGAACAGGTTGGCTGGGGAGAACTCTGTTCCTTACGTTTGCCCCTCACTTGCCGACTTAGCAGCTTGATTCGCTTCTTCCTTTTTTTTTTTTTTAAACGTAGGTTGCTTCTTTGCCGTTGTGGTTGCCTAAATCCTTAAGCCCTGGCTCTGGGCGGGAGCTGCAGAGACTCTCTTATTTGGGGGCTTTCTTCAGTTTCTCAGTCTTTGCAGAAGATGATGTAAGTACGGTGGCCATTTGCACTCGGCTGCTCTTCTGTTGAGATCCTTGCCTAAATGTATGTTGTGTATGGGTTGAATATTTTCCTTCTCTTTCCAGGCTAAGGTGGTTGAGAAATATTTCTCAGGGCCTGCCATTACCCTGGAAAACACTCGCGTGGTTAGCCAATCACTGCAGCACTACTTGGAGCTGGGAAGGGTAGGTGTTTGAAAATTGCATTCAAAGGATGAGTGAAAGAGAAGTTGCATGTCAGTAACCTGTGCCCTGAATGAGAACTGTCGCAATACTATGTGGCATCACGGGGTACTGGCTCTGAGGTTAGTGGCCATGCCGTCTCTCCAGCTTGTCCTCAGACCTTTAAAATACGAGACTGAGCGAGCGCTGTTAGTTTGCATATACTCCTTGATGACCCAAATATAGTGTGTGTCCCAAGTATAGATTAATGTGTCTTCAGTTCTGAAACTTTAGCAGCAAAATTCTAGGCTAACGATAGCATCATTAAGGTAATCTCGATCCTATCCCTCAAGGAAACGGCGAAGGCCATTTTATTACAACTGTAACTCCTTCCCCCCACTCCGTAATCCACTTCCACGCGAATCGTCTTGACACAGTTGAATTTGGGCATTTCTGTTCCTCTTGTAGTCAGCTTCTCCTAACGTGAGTGGAAAGAGTAGAGGAGAGAAAGGCGGAAGAAGCCTAGCTGTTCTCGAGGTCAAAAGGAACAATTTATTAAAGTAAAATTTTAATTTTTTTCTTCCTTTAAAAAAATAACTTCAGCAAGAGCTCTTCAAGATTCTGCATAGTATTTTGTTAAATGGTGAAACCCGCGAGGCGGCTCTCGGGTACATGGCAGCTGTGGTCAATGCCAATATGAAGAAAGCGCAGATGCAGGTAGGACTCCGAAGGACTTTTACTTCTTGGTGTAATTCATTCACCTACCTTGTGTTTACTCGGAAACAACACCAGGCACTGTTCTGGCCAATGGAGACGCAGTGTCGAGCAAGATAGAAGAGCTTCCTGCCTCTGTGGAGCTTACGTTCTCCAAGCTAAATGGTAGACACATAAACATATTATCTCAGGCCGTCCTAGAATCTGTGAAGCAAGTAAAGCAAGGTCGAGGATTGAGAGTAACTGGACGTACCTGGAGGAAGGTATGGGAGTGATTTTTGATCAGGTAGTGGGGAAGACCCTTCTAAGGAGGTGCTGTGTGATCAGAGACCTGGCTCGTGTGAAAGTCAGCCATTACAAGGCTGGAAAAAGAGTTTTCTAGACACGGGTGAAGCACCAAAGGTGGGAATGAACTAGCTTCGGAACAAGCTACACGTGCAGACGTCAGTGACTGAGAGTGTACAGGAAAGAGAATGGCGGGTCATGGGCTAGCGGGATGGGCAGAGGCTCCCTCAGACCAGGGCTGACGTGGTAAGAACTGGAATGGGAAAACACTGGAGGCTTTTGCGGCAAGGAAGCCACCAAATGTGCTGTGGGAGGAGGGACAGAAGCAGACCCGAGGCAACCAGTTACAAGGTTATAAGCGTACCAGATCTGGTGAGGGGACTGGTGGCTTGGACGACTTTGCAAAGGTAGAAAAGTTAGAAGGGCATCCTTCCTATATTATTTATAAGTAATGAACGAAAGGTGTGACCTTCCTACTCAGAAGAAGAAACCGGTTTAGAGAACTGCGTGAGACTGCCTGGGCTTCCTGCCGTAGCCCCACCATTTACTAACCTGATGGTGGGACCTTAGATAGTTATTTCTCTGTGCTTCAGTTTCCTATGTGCTAAGTGGGAGTAATAATAGTACCTAACTGTGGATTTAGTATCTGTAAAGCTGTTAGAACAGTGCCTGGTGCACCGTGGACACTCAGTGGATGTTAATTACCATTATTACAATTATTCTATTACTGATACAGGACTTGGCTAATGAATGATGTTGACCAGAGAACCGATTAGCCAAATGGTAGTGAGCAAAACTAGGGATTTGATGCTCTTGGGGGGGAAATAAAGAAGAGAAAGGAAGCAACATATATTGTGTTTCTACTTAATTGATTTTGAGGATCTTGGGCAAGTCACTTAACTTCTCTGAGCCTTAGTTTCCCCCTCTGTAAAATGGGAATGACAGTGGCACTGACTTCCAAGGGCTGTTCTGAAGATTCAGTGAGAGGATGTATAAAATGCTTCACATATGATTAATACTCCAAAGAGCTCCTGCTAGTAGAATGACAGTGGGGACGATACTTGTCCTCTCTTCGACTTTGGGGTGAATGTCTGGTCTCCTTATAAAGTTGTGCCCAAATTTCCATCTAAATCATTGTTTTAAATCCCCCCCCCCTTTTTTTTGTATTTCACAGACAGATGATAGATTGGTATCTACAGATGGATTCATGCTGAATTTCCTTTGGGTGCTGCAGCAGCTAAGTACAAAGATCAAGTTAGAGACGGTGGATCCCACGTATATATTCCACCCAAGGTGTCGGATTACTCTTCCTAATGACGAGACGAGAGTGAACGCGACTATGGAGGATGTGAACGACTGGCTGGCTGAACTTTGTGAGTGACGCACACGTTCATTATTAGACCGTTAAAGTGCCACCCTTTTATTTGAAAAACTGTTTTCTGTTTAAAAAAAATTTTTTTTGATGTTTATTTATTTTTGAGAGAGAGAGAGAGAGAGAGAGCAAGCAGGAGAGGGGCAAAGAGAGAGGGAGACCAGAATCCAAAGCAGGCTCCAGGCTCTGAGCTGTCAGCACAGAGCCCAATGCGGGGCTTGAACTCACGAAGCAAGAGATCATGACCTGAGCGGAAGTCAGTCACTTAACCAACTGAGCCACCCAGGTGCCCCTGAAAAATTGTTTTTAACTTATTTTATTTGGATGCTAGTGATTCCTCACAAATTGTTATTTTTTCTCCAGAAGATGAATTTATGAGTCAGAGATACACAGTAAAAATTAATGCAGTAAAAAAGTTCTTGATTTACCCGGATAGAAACACAGAGCAACTGGAAGGAAATGTACTCACAGTAAAACAAAAAAGAAGTAATACAATAAAAATGATAGTGGAGACCTAATTATTATATGGAGTTTGCATATACCAATTAAAGTTCTCATGAAATATTCATAGATCTTGACGAATTGATGGTATTAAAATAGGAATATCTTCCAAGGTGCTACGATTGTTGATCTTATTTCTTTGTTAGAAAACATGTCAATGACAGATGTCAAAACTCTTTGGCATTAATTTTTTCACATAGTATAAAATCGTTCATGGAATAGGAGAGAGATTCCATGCTTACCCGGCAACATCATGATCAGGTGTGTGTACATGTTCCAGAAGAGAGACAGAGCATGAACGGGGGAGGGACAGAGAGAGAGGGAGACACAGAATCGGAAGCAGGCTCCAGGCTCTGAGCCATCAGCCCAGAGCCCGATGCGGGGCTCGAACTCATGGACCGCGAGATCGTGACCTGGCTGAAGTCGGCCGCTTAACCGACTGTGCCACCCAGGCGCCCCAGAACATTGTTTTTTTAAGTCTATTTATTTATTTAATTTTGAGAGAGAGCGAGAGGGAGAGAGAGAATCCCAAGCAGGCTCTGCACTGTGCAGCATCCGGTACCGCGACCCGTTACGAGAACTACTACGAACGAAATATATTAAATCAGACATTTAACCGACTGAGCCACCCAGGTGCCCTTCCAGAAAAACATTTAAGCTACAATAAGAATTAAGCAGGGGCACCTGGGTGGCCTGTTGTGGTTAAGGTCGTAGCTTCTCTCAGGTCGAATGTTCACGGCACTGGTGAGTTTATCTCCCACATCGGCTCTGTGTGACAGCGGCAGCTGCTTTGGATTCTGTGTCTCCCTCTCTCTGCCCCTCCCTCACTCATGTTCTGTCTCTCTCTCACAAGAATAAATAAACCTTAAAAAAAAAAACAAAACTATATGATGAACAATAACATTAGTATTTTTTTTAATTATTAAAAACATTTTTGAAGCTGGGTGGCCAGTGCAGTGGATTACGCTCCGGACTTCAGCCAGGTCCGCCTGATCCGCTGCCGGTGTGAGTTCGCACCAGCGGCCGGCGCTTGGGCTGATGGCTCTGAGCACAAAGACTGTTTCGATTCTGTCTCCCTCTCTCGCCCCTCCCCGTTCATGCTCTGTCCTCTCTCAAAATGATAAGCGTTGAAAAAAAAAAAATTTAAAAAAAATAAATAAAATAAAACATTTTTTTGAAGCCTGGGTGGCTGATGAGTTCATCGACTTCAGCCAAGACCGATCTCTCTGGCGGTCAGCAGTTATTGTAGCGACAAGGAGGCTCTGGGCTTTGATGAAATGGAGCGCAAGACCTGTTCGATTCTGTGTCTCCCTCTCTCTCTGCCCCTCTACACGTTCTATTGCTCTGTACTCTCTCTGTCCCAAAATAAATAAAAGCGGTGGAAAAAAAAAAAAGCAAAACAAGCATTTTTTAATATTTTATCTTGGAAGCGAGGGGCAGGGAGTGAAAGACAGGGGGTGAGGCAGAAGAAAAGAGGAGAACACAGAATCTGGCTGAAACTCCAGGCTCCTATTTCGGCACCTAGGCAAGCATGAAAACTAACCCCAGAACGTGAGTTCAGTGACCTGAGCTGAGAGATCAACACTCTTTCAAACAAATACCAAGCACCAAGTTAAATTTGGTAGTGTCCCAGGTTTGAACAAGTAGCTGGTGTGGAAACTGGACTCATATCATGGACTAGTAGTTCCAGAAAAATTAAAAGGGTTAAACATTAAAAAAATATATTTATATAATGTTTATATATTAATATTAATTATTAATGAAACAATATTAATATATTATATATTATATATATATAAAATAAATGATGAAAAACAACATAATTTGACTTGATCATGATAAATTTATAATGATTTAGAAAGTAAATTAAATCATCAGAACAATATGTATATAAACAGCATCTCTTATGTAATATACTTTTTCTGGAGGTGAGACTAAATGAATATAACTACATAAAATTTAAAAAGCGGTCAAAAATATATTGTCATTATGTTGGTAAAATCATATGCCTTAATCTTAAATTGTTAAGAAATGTCATGAAGACCCAAAATAAATGCTACCAACAGACAGTTTTCTTTTAGTTGGAAAAAAAATGTAAGCAGTAACTAAGGAATAGAAATACGCTTTTTGGAAAAGATACACATGCTAGGAATTTAGATACCAAATTGAAATTCAAGTTACGGTTGTGTGTCTGGAAATTATCAAAAACAAAAGTGATGAGATGGAATGGAACTTTATTGAAGAAATAGGCGGCATTTAAATCAGTTTCTTTTAGTGAATTCTGATTTTATATCAAAAATTATAACACTGTCTGTTGTCAGTAATGCTTCGTTTTGAATATATGCTCCAAAATGCTGGAAATTGGGGTGAGGTCGTAAGTTTTTTGTCGTCGATCTTCCAGAGTACTATTTATCCTAGAAAAAATGAAAGTAAGCGATACCCATGACGGGAAATGACGTGGAATCTGTAGCTTATTAACATAGTCTAATAGCATTTGAGATTAAAGTGATGTTTTGTGATCCGTGTTGAATAATAGAAAGTAGTTCTATAAATACATGAGGCCACAGAACACACAAGATTGTCCGAGGCCTCCTATGTAAACAAGCAGAGGGGGAGGCAAGAATCCTATAATTGGACTTCACTTAAGGCATTCTGTTCCTCTTATAACTGGTCTATACTTTTAAAAAGCATCCTTAAACTTCTTGAAAATTAATAGTCTTGAAAAGTGTATTTTGTCTTAACTTCCAACCTTTTCTCTGATTTAAGTCTTGTAGTAGATTTATTTGAAATTATGTTATTTTCCTAGATGGAGATCAACCTCCATTTTCTGAGCAGAAATTCCCTCACCGTTTTCTGCCCCTGCCATACCACCTCTATTGGGGTGCCGTGCTACATCCGCCAGACTCGGGCCATCGAGCTCAATAGGTATGTGCCTGAATCTGTGTCCTGGGATAAGCCTGGTTAGCACTGCTCTACACCCAGAATCAAGCAGTTCCATTGTTATTCCATTAGATTTTTTTAAATTTTTTTTAATGTTTTATTTTGAAGGAGAGAGGCAGAGCATGAGTGGGGGAAGTGCAGAGAGAGAGACACAGAATCGAAGCAGGCTCCAGGCTCTGTCAGCACAGGAGCCTGACTGCGGGCTTCCAAACCCACAAACTGTGAGATCATGACCTGAGCGAAGTGGAAGGCGGCTTGACCCGACTGAGCCGCGGCACCTTGGTGACCAGTGAATTTGAGTGTGTGGGGAATTATAACCGTTTTTGGTACACACTGTATGACCACATTCGTGTTCAGCCAGAGTTCTTTATGTGGTGAAGTGACTCAAACGGCTTCTGAGAGTTCTCAATGGTGCGCTGGTCACTAGGCGTCATTAACTCTTTCCATTGGTCATGGTATTGACGGGGAGGTACTCAAGGATCTCAGTTCAGACTATATTCCTTCCTCCTGGACTCTGAAGCTGATAGTCTATGTCCTTGATAAACCAGATCATTTACTCCTGCCTACATATGGTGTTTTTCACCTGTTGTCTTGTGGCATAAAATTCAGAATGACAGATGGGTAGCCTCAATTTACATTCATCCAGCTTTTTTTTTTCCCGTTGTTGAGTTTCTTTTTTTTTTAATGTTTATTTATTTTTGAGAGAGAGAGAGAACCCAGCGAGCTGGGAAGGGGAGACAGAAGAGAAAGGGAGACACAGAATCAAGCAGGCTCCAGGCCTGAGCTGTCAACGCAAAATTGACAGCGGAGCTCCCGGTCTAAGCCATGAATCATGACCTGAGTGCCCGAGAAGTTGGGGTGTTTAACCAGCCAGGCCACCCAGGCGACCTTGTTGACATTCTTAATCTAAAGCATTTCTCCCTGTGCCAACATCTCCAACTAAACAAATCCACAGAACAGGAAACCCAAAAAATATTTTTGAATAAGGTCCTCTGGAATGGTAACAGTGTGGCCGCTTCATTTTGGTCAAGACCTATGTACTACGTCTGGCTGTGTGAAAAAGTATGTCATGTCTATATCGCTTTGTGTATCTCTGTCTATCTATCTGTCTTGCTAATCAATTAATGCTGATGATTACTCTATAGATGATTACTCTGTGAAGATTTTCCTTCTACATGTATATTAGATTAATGCGTTTGTAAATGATGACAGTTTTCTTTCTTACACCTTTCTCTTTTTTGTAACACTGGCTACAATTTCTGGTACAGTAATCTTGAATGAGACAACCTTCTTTATTATCCTCATTGCAGATTAAGAAAATTTGCAGCATTATTTTTGAGTATTTTAATAGTTCTATTCCTAACAAGTTGAGTTTTTATTAAATGCTTCTTCCATAGTTGTTGAAGAGATCAGATTTTTTTTCCCTCTGTATTTCCGTTAATGTAGTTGAATTACATCAACTGGAATTACAACATCTGATATTAAACCAGACTTCCCTTCTAAAGTAAACTCAGCTTTTTATGTCCTCTCGTGATATTGGCATCATATTCATTTTGCCAATGTTCTGTTTAAGTTTTGGGAATTTGTGTTCGAGAAAGAAAGATTGACTAACTAATTTCTTGTTAAGTCTTTCTCAGATTTTGGTATAAGTGTTATGCTTGCCATATGAAGATAGTGGAAATACTCTCTCTTTTTATATCCTTGGAAGAGTTTATTATTATAACAGTTATATTTATTTCTTTCTTGAAAGTTTAGAGACATTCATTGATGAAGCTGTCTGGGATTAGAGTTTTTCTTTGTGGGAAGGACCTTGTGCTGTATTCAGTTGATAGATACAGGACTATTTAGGTTTTTATTTCATCTTGTTAAATTTTTCTGTATCTAAATTTTCAAATCTATGAGCCTAAGAGTTGCTCATAATATTTTCTTTCTATCATTTTAATGTCTGCAGCACCTTCTATTTCCTTCTACTCTCTTTCCAGTTTAATTTGCTTTTTCTTGTTGATATTTTATTGCCCTGGAGGTTGGTACTGAAATCATTCATTTCAGCCCTTTCTTGCATTCAAGGTGTCTTCGTTTCCCAAAGCATGGTTTGTGGCTGCATCCCTCATGTTGGCATGGCACATTTTTTTCCTATTTCAGTTCAAAATATTTTCTAATTGTTACTGTTTACGTTTTGACTGTGGGTTATTGAAAATATGTATTGATGTTCAAATTCTGGATTCTCGGTTATTTGTCTTTATCTCAATATTAAATTTCATTATGGTCCAAAGGACATGTTCTGATTTGTGTCGAACTTTACTATTGGAATTTGCTTTCTGACCTCCATTCACAAGTAAGCGTTCCATATAGATGTGGAAAGAATGTGCTTTCCGTGTTGCATATTACTGTATACATTTGTCTCAATAGGTCAGGTTTGTTCATCTATCATTCATTTTTTCTCATATTTGCTGATTTTATCGTATACTGATTACTAGAGGCATATATGCATTTCAAACTGTGATTGTGGTGCTTCTTCATCTTGGAATCCTGGGATCCCCTTCCACTGACTTTGGATGATCCACTTCAATGGTACCAGCTACCAGCTTTCACTCAACTCCCAGTGGATGGTCAGAGATGTCAGTGTTCCCTGCCTGTAATGTGCGCACCCAGTGCTGTGATATATGGGAGAGATGTCCTCTAGGGGATAATAACTTGAGGCGAGAAGGGCATGTATTGGGAAGAGGGGTTGTCTGAGCTGGTCACACATGGTATATTTATATTAATCTATATTAATGGTCTCTCAACTTCTTTTTTTTTTAAGTGTATTTATTTATTTTGAGAGAGAGCAGGAGGAGGGCAGAGAGCAGGGGAGGGGCAGAGAGAGCAAGGAGGGAGGGGCAGAGAGAGAGAGAGGAAGATCCTAAGCAGGCTCTGAGCCATGTGAACCCTGATGCCTGGCCCAGACTCTGGGCCGTGAGATGATGACCTGAGCTGAAACAAGAGTTGGACACTCAACTGACTAGAGCCATCAAGCCCCAATATTCTCAACTTTTTTTTATTAATGTTTTATTTATTTTGAGAGAGGAAGAGATACATTACCACACAGAATGGGGGGAGGTGCAGAGGGGGAGACACAGAATCCAAAGCAGGCTCCAGATGAGCTGTCATGGAGAGCCTGGCCGGGCTTCGAACTCACGAACTGCTGAGGCCTGAGCCCAGGTTGGACACTTAACTGACTGGGCCTCCCAGAATTTATTATTCTCAGCTTCTTAAAAAGCGTTAGATTTCCTTCCTCCCAATTGTACAGGGGATGTCAGATGGCTCAACTTCCTCTCAAGCGTGGAATTAAGCTGTCCATTCAACTTTGAGTCAATTAGCTGGGCACACATTTAAACCCATCCCAGCTACTCAGGACAATCTTGAATCTCTGTAAGTGCGTGTTAGTAGACAGTTCACATAGAAGATGTTAACATGCTTCACTCTTGCTGATCAAGCATCTCAGGATCCATTGCACACACACTCCCAGATTGTGTCACTATTGTGGTGAATGGAGAATAGCGATGTCCCAGAATGTGGAGAGGGAAATAGTAATTCCAAGTGCATTGGCTATAGCAGTTTGCTTAAAAACAAATATGTCAACCACACATTGTCATGACCACCCGGACTGGACAGAGGCTGCCTTGCACTTTCCTCATTGTTCCATGTGCCTGTCCAGTGTGGCTCCCTAGAGGCAGGCTGTCAGGCCTGTCTGCCCTCCATAGTGCTTCTAAGCATCTTTCAGTGTCCTCTAGATCTGCCATCTGCAGCATGAACCAGGCCTTACGTGACACTTTCAGTGTGCTATCAAATCTTCATTTTTTTGAGGCGGTATGTATGTACCAGGAGTTGTCTCTTGATCCTAACCTGGCAGGAAGCTGCTCAGGGTTCACCTGATGATGGGGCTTCTGTCCCTGCTCCCAGGCAAAACTCCACCACCACTCTGGAACAAGAAAACCCAGCTGGCTGCCTCCCAGTATCCGGCTTCTGCCTTCGATGAGGGCTCACCTCTTGATGGAAGCCCCAGGTCATGGGCAGAGTTGCTGGCAGCAGACGGTCTGGGAAAATTAAAAAAAACGTATAACCCTCTAGTTTTCTACGTCGTGGAGGGGGTTGAAATCGCATTACGTGGGCCAGTCTTTAAAACTGATGAAGCCTGTGGTGTGACTGGCAGGCGATCTTTGAGCCCAGGCACCTAAAGGAAGTGGAAGGACAAGCCCCAGAGGGTATCTTAGGAGCAGTGCAGCAAGAACGGTGCAAAGAAGAAAAGAACTGCCATGACTGAACTCGCCTTTCTTTGGTAAAATTGACCAGGCGACAGCCTTGAATTCCCAGAAGGGACTTCTTTTTTCCTCTCACTGGAAAATAGAGGACAAATGTGTTTCATTACTGTATTCATTAACTCCAAAAGTACCATCAATTTTAAAGGCCTCGTTATTTGAGAAACCAGTAAGAAAGAAAATTTCTTAGTTCATGACAAAGACATTCTGATTTTTTAAAAAAAATTTTTTTT